TGTGTGTGTGTGTGTGTGTGTGTGTGTATTGGGGGGTTGTTTTGTCCATCTGTTGTGTGTCTAAAGCTGCAAATTCTCTTTGTTGTTTTATTGTTAGGGCAGAAAGGTGGTGGCTGAGGTCAAATATTAAACTTTCCTTGAGGCGATTGGGGTTGGTGTGTCACCTGATCACTATGTGTGTTTTTTACAGCCAATCCTTTAGTTTCATACATTTCATAGAAGCACAACTGATACAGGGTCAGATCAGACGTTGAACCATAAAAAAAGGACACTGTTTTAATCTAAGCATCCTAAATCTTTTTGGTTTCTTCAGTTTAAATTGTTCTTGTGAAATGCACTGATACACAGCAAATGCATGAAACTAAATAAATATCGTTTCTTCAGCAGCATCAATCAGATTGTCTTTATTCCTTGTCTCACAACTCCTCAGTCATTTCTCCTCTGTTCGCTTTAATTTATCACCCTGACTTGTTCGGCCCTTATTCCAAGCTTGTTTACTGACAACTTGTTTTCGTGTTGGTTTGTGGGGGTTAAAAACACGCAGAGCGCTCTGTAGCTCCTGGTTAGCTCAGTTGTTTGTGGTCACACTGCATTAGTTCCACCAACTTTAATGTCAAATCGAAGGGGGGAAAAAACAAAACAGTATCATAACCAAACAAGTTCAACTGGAGCTGGTTTTGGACTGTTGGCTGATTCTGAGAAAGAGATAGGAGGAGGATTAAGTTACCTGCATGAAAGAAAAGTTTGCTACTGCATGAGCTGCACACACATGACCACACGAACAGTAAGCTCATGCTGTGGGTTTTCCTTTTCCACTCCAATCATAACTTAAAAATAAACAACAAATTATTTTCTTGTACAACAAGAATAAAATATTTCCCTTCCTGCTTTTTCAGCACTAACATGTTTTTCACTTTACATATCTAAAACTGTGTATTTCAGAGACAAAACATCATTTAGTCTTTCGCCCATAGCAGTACGAGTGACTGAAAGACTCAGCAGCAGAGAGCAGGTTTGCTTTAGGTGACCTTGTAGTTTATAAGTTTTTTTATTGAAAAGGCAAAGAGATACACAAACGCAGGTCGGTTCTTGGAAAAAGTTATAGTCGCCAAAGCAAACAGAAAAATGCAATAAAGCTCGGTGAATAACACGTCAAGTACCTATTTCAACAAYCTCCCCACAACATTTTGGTTTTGTTGAGAATCCTTTGTGGCTCAAGATTGTTGCCTTTTCCTACATCTAATCTGGTGAATAATTTTCCTCAATTTAACCAAATAAAAAATTTGTAACATCTAAGCCCAAAAGAGAGCAAATCAGCACTTTTCATCATCATAAACATCAACCTCATTTTAAAAACTTTTATTTAGGTTGCTGATGAAAATAAAAAAAGGATAGGGCATTATTATTA